ATTCAGTTAAATTTTTATTCCAGCAATTTTTAAAGTGTGGGGTTGGTAGGTTTTTTTGGTGCTTTGTGGATTTCTACTGGAAGAAACACAAGTTTCAAAACAGTGGTTTTTTTTCTTCAGTAAAATGAAGGTTTTTAAAATGAGAATTTCATGTAGTTTCCTAAAATGGCTCTGCTTAGCCATTAATGTAATTTATATTTAGCACACGACCACAAACAGATAGATTGCTAGACTAGACTGTTTCAGGGAAGAGTACACCACTCTGCCTCTTTACTCATGGTGTTGTTAAAATAAAGACCATGGCAATAACATGGGAAGTGAACGCAAAATAGAAAAATAGGACATTTAAAAAATGCTGGTTGAACAAATTATGTTAGAAAACTGAGATGAGATCCAACAGACCCCCAAGTAACGCAATCAAGAGAACAGCCTTAGCTAAGCTCCAGTGCGACAGAGTATGACAAACTACGCACTCAAATACATCACTTCAATTTTGAAGTTATAATTTGCCTATACAAAACAAACCTTCACAAAAAACCCCCACTCTATCTGCCTGGCAGAGGCACCTGTTTATTGCCTTTTCCGGACGGACACAGGCCACTACTTTCAATGTCTTCTAATTTCACCAACTGGGGGCTGTTTACATCTCTCAAAGTCATTGCAGACAGCGTAATGCATTTTGCATCATGCTACTACAGCCAGAACACTGAATAAAAAGCAAGAGTTTTTACTGGAAGATTCAAGCACGTTTAGACAGCAATCTCCCAGTAATTTCTGCAGAATGCTGCTTCTCCTGCCACTGAACTCTGGCCATTCATACTGAAACCATACCAAACAGAAGAAAACACTAATACTGATTCTCTCAATCAAGACACAAGAGGATAAAGAGACAGTGAAAATTAAGCACTTGCCTCACTCCCTTTAGTCTCCTCACTCTCTTCTATTAGTTTGGCAAAGGGAAACGTACAAATACTTCAAGTTCATGTACCTGTTCAAAGGTGTCAATTCCAGAATACACCCCTAAAGTAGTGGCCTTGGACCAAGTTCCCTGTGGTGTGGTACTTGCTCATGGAGAAAGAACTTTGCCTTCGACTGGCATGCAGTCATTATACAGCGCAAGTTTGTCAAGTAGCTCAGTGTTCCTACACTTAGGAAGCTTCATACAATCATGTATTGCTACCATTGTCTTTAACTGGAAATGTGGTCTTTCTTCACGTGTATCATTATTTACTCTCTCAGCATTCCAACGTTTTTGTAAAAGTGAGAGCCATCGGAATACATTATTAATTTTGAAGGCATTAATTAAAAACACTCACTGACTTCAAAAGCATCTTTGAAACAGAAGAATCCTGAACAGTCAGGCAGGATTTGTGGTATCTGATGTGACCAAGCTACTTAAGTTGATACAAAAACTCAAAAGCGTCTTGTATGCAAAACTGAAACTATGTTAAAAATATAGCAGCATGCAGTTCAACTCAGTGGCACTAAAAAACTTCAATGAAAATTCCCAAATCCACTCACGCACCTATTTTATGTTAGGAGTGCTCTAACTGCACAAAAATGAGACCCCTTCCGGAAATTCAAGTACAACCTACCAATCACTACTGATTCTGCCCTCAGATGCAAAGAATACATTCATCACAATAAAGATCTGTTGTGCTAACGAAGTCATCAATGGACAGGATACTATGTGATGAAAGGAAGGCAAACAAACCTGACAACACTCTGAGGGGGTTTTTTTGGTGGTGGTGTTCGTTGTTTTTTTCCAGGATACTTAAAAATGAAAATTAATATAGCGATTATTCCCAAATTGTTACTTCACTTGCTACTTTTTTTTCCTTCCTTAAAAGTATCACCATTCTAATCTCCAACTGCCACATACAAGCTATTTTAACTGTTTTCAACCACCTTTGCTGATCACTCCTAGGCAAGGATATATCACTTTGTTTTAGAAGTCTACAGAGAGACTTAGAATAGGGAATCTTTTCTACACAGAAAGTTATATAAATAAAGAACTGAATCTGATCATTTTCATATGCTGCCAGGCTTTGGATGGATAAATGTTTCCAAAGAGCTGGCGCCTCTGTTTTGGGTAGGAGTGGGTGGAATATTGCAGGATTCCCCTTCCCTCCCCCACTGAAGCGGAATCTGGTCTCTATTAAAGGCGTTTCAGCTGTAATTCTACTGTCTGAAATATCCTGATTTTATACAGTGTTGCAATTCCTAAAACAATCATTAACACTGATGAGATCCTGTTCCAGGTCTGGCAATTTAAAGTTTTACTGTACATGCCAAGCTTAGCAGGAAAGAAAAATTAAGTTTCAGTAATGATGAAAGTGTATGGATACCACATCAAAAAGATTATGCTGAGGGGATCTTCATCTGTGTAGTGTAACATACATAAAAATTCACTCAGCACACTTAGAACCCACCTTTTCTAGCTGCCCTACACCTTCAAGTACCATCTCTGTAGTGCAACCAAAGATACTATTTATCCTATTGAAATTACCCAAACCGTACACCATACAGTTTGGACTAACGTGTTTATAGCTGTCAGCAACGCAATCATCAGAAGGGTACAACTGACAAACCGTATTTCCAAGCTGATCGAGCATGTGAAGCATCGGAAAATTCAATACAGGCCATAAACACAACAAACATGGGGATGCACATTTATTGAGAATTCTGTATGATGATCATGAGCACCTTATCTAAGTGCTTACTGATTAAAAGTTCATTTGATTCTGCTCAAATGCTGCACTAGAATACAAGTGAAATGAAAGTCAGGGAAATAGTGAATGGTTTGGAAACCTGATTCCTCCTTAGGAATGCACTGTAAGTCTATCTCTTCTCTCTCCCCTGTCCTGCCCCAAAAGATCCTGATTATTATGTAGTCCTAAAATCCAGAGCACAAAAGCTTATCTGTAAACATTCTAGATATGTGGCCAGGACATCTTCCCCCAAACACACAATGAAAACTGAAATGTAAAAACCACTTATAGAACTACAAGGAATTGAGGCAAAGATCTCTTGGTTATACATATTAAACATGTACAGTAAAACAAAAAATAAAAGTATGCATAACATAACGTATTGCAATTATTTAAAAACCTGTATTTGACATCACATTAATTTAAAGTATCTTTTGACAATGTGTTTAATTCTGCTTAAACATATTTCAAGTCAGTAATTTTTCCTTTTCTTCCTTTCTGCAGGTGATCCTACACCAGTGCTTTAGAGCTGGGACAACGACTATTGTTGTTTTAAGAGAAAATGGGTACTGGCAGCTAATAAGGACATCATTTAATAACAACTGCCTGCTGCCTTATTAAAAGCAAGAGTCTTTTCAGAAGTTATTAAATCCAACTCCTGCAGCTGGCCAGGGATGTTGCTTTTTCTGTCTCAGCGTCACAAGTTTTGATGTCTGTCATGAAGCCCCAGATGCTCAATATTACCTCAATCTCACTGTTAATTGAAAGAGTTTTCGCACATCCTGGCTGCAAATAAGTGTTTTCTACAATAGGAGGAAAGAATAAGTCTCTCAGAACTCCAGAAATTATTTCAGGAAGCCTCATTCCTTTTTAACCTTCAGCATACAGCAAGCACACAGCTTCTTTTCTGCGGTAACAGGAGTGAAGGGGGGCACAGTAAAGGAAAGTAAATCAAGAAAAGTTTGAAGTAAATAGAGGTCAAGGACATAAGGCCGGGCCTACAGTTCCTACTGTGTTGTTAAAATTAAGGCAGGCTGCCGCAGGTCTTCATGACCTGCTTTAAGTTAATTCTACCTTCCTTTTGAACTGCACTTACAAGCAGGTTACAGCTATGTCATGACGGAGACAGAAAGATTCAGGTAATCTAGCCGTTGCTCCAAGGATCCAGTGGTAGCAAGGCCTCCGAGGCAAGGATTCTACCTTTGCTACAGCTGACATCTGACCTGGCTACATCAGAGACACACATCAGCCATCCCTTCAAAGTGAGAGAGATGATTCTCTGCATCTGCCTTTTCCCTCTCATTCTCATGCTCAGTGTCTTCCAGTTGTACTTGGAAGAGAAGAAAGCCTGTCTAATCATCTCAAATATCAGTAAGGATGCCAGAAGAAAAGTAGTTTAGCAATAACAATAATCAGATTTTCTAAAAACCTGAGAAGCAGCAGATTGATCATATTTGATTATACTAAAGTCAGGCTGTACTGATGAAGCAGGAAGTAGGAAACAGAGTTAGTAAGGGAAAGAAATTCAAAGTGTTTCTGTTTTCTCCCTGTTCTCTGCCTGACCTACAGCTTGCCTTAACTTGCCAACTCTCCTTATGTATTACTTGTCTTCTTACAGCTCTTGCCTTTCTGACATCTCAGAGCAGCTGTTTTCCATTCCCTTTTCGGGCTCCTCTTTTCTTGATCCCAGTAATTTCTGCTCTCATCAAAAAAGAACAAGATTCAAGAATGTGGGGCCCTATAAAGAAGCAGAGGATAAGACAGGGGGAACTACACCAGTGAAACAGAGGAGTAAGACTCACCATCAGTAAGAAAAAGGTGAGGGGAAAATAAAACCAGCAGACTGTGGCATCTGATTAAATTTACCAGTAATGTTACCCACAACATGAGATAGGGAGCTACAAAATTATGTACTTGCAGCTCCTGATGCCTTTCCTGTGTTCTTGAGAAATGCATGGGGTAAAAGATCCCTCTGTCTGCTATTGAAGTACCAGTTGGGAGAGGTATGGCAGCTCTGTGAACAAATATATCCTTATAGCTTAAGTACTCACAGAAAAGGCCATCTACAGAAAGGAAAAAAAGGAAAAAAAATCCAAGAACTCTTATCCAAACTGCAAAAACTTGAAATTCATTTTACAATAGTTAAAAACAATGCATTTTGCAATTTTTATATGACAACATCAAACAGCAAACAGAAAATACACAACATTGTACAAACAGACAAATAAATCAAGCTAAAGTTTTGGGAAAGTACTAACCAGTTACTGACAGCAGCTGTGAAACCCTCACCTCCATTTCCTCCCGATGAGACCTGTCTCTATCCTCGAATTCACGAGTTCTTCGCCGAGCTTCTTCAAAGGCTTGTTGTGCCAATGCATCCTCCTGCTACCAAACCAGATGGCACAGAGTGACACAAAAGGCTACCCTCATTTCTACCAGATCACATTTCTTTGGAATATTAGGGATCACTTGGCAGCAAAGACAAGTATGTCCTACAGAATCTGCCAGGATACAGATGAGTTCCAATATAGGTTAAAGAAATAATACTCACCTTCATCACTGCAGTAGAGATAACCAAATACTAAAATACATTTTCAAAGGAGAACTGCTTTTAAAATGCTGCAGTCTTTTTAAAAGCTAGACATTCTCAAAAGTTATACAAAAGAGGCAATACATTTTATTCTCCTTATAAAAGTCATTTTGAAGACAGAATTCACAGGTATATCTAGAGTTCACTAAATAATGGTAATGTAATTCTCTTTCATTTAAAAAAGTATCATCTAAATTACAAATCAAACAAATCCTCCATTTTATCAAAAGCTGCTGAAGGTGCATCAGTATAAACATTTGTAATTCTTACGTATCATTTAAATTCAATTTAGATGCATAAGAAAGTGCAAAGCAGAAGTATTCCTCCACTAATTTGCACACATTCCCACACAATGCAGAAGAAACCTGCAGATTTTCAACAGCCCCGTTGTTTATTTTCAACAATGGCTTATGCACAGGAATAGATTTAATAAATTAACGCTCAAAAAAAAACATCCTTCAAACCATATTTTCTATTAGAAAAGGTTTTAAATAAAGTGTTATTAATATGCAAGCCATTATTAATTGGGTTACAAATTATTTCTCTTAAAGGGTCCTTTTAGTGCATATTTTGCTCAGAATGAAAATAGATGGCTCTGTTCCACACCAGAATTTTAAAATGTTCAGAATGGAGGAGTCAAGTCTAAATAGGTTCCATGAAACAGTAAGGGATAAACTATATTGGTTCTCCCTCATAACTCCTCAGTTATAATTACTACTAATTCTGCTTTTGATTCCCGCATACACACAAATGTAATTTTCAAGTTGATAATTAAAAAAAAAAAATCCTAACCTTGACTGTTAGAGGACAAACATGTTGAGAGACCAACTAAATTTTAATATACCAAGGGATTAAGTGCATGAATTTTTTAATTTAAGATAAAGCATCCCTAGTCTGAGAGAATGTTAAATTGCTTTTTTTGCCGTCGGCACAACTGTGCACCCTGAAGCTACTCTGTGAAATGATGTGAATGAGTGCCTCTCGTGGCCTAACACAGTTAAATACAAACATCTGTCAATCAAGAACTCCACACAGTCAGGTCCCCAGAAAGCTATGTTGAAAGGCAATGTTTAAAGCTGCCAATAAGATAACATTTTAACACTACCTACTATTTTTAAGAGTAGAATTTGGCTCTTTATAGCCATCTTAGTGTTCATGCAATGCATAGCAACCAAGGTCAGTCAGTGGAAAGTAAATTTGTTCTTAATAATACAGAAGGATAGAGATAAAACAGATAAGCTTGTCTCCCAGATGACTACGGAAAAGCTGCCTTATTTCTAATTCACAAAAGCTATGTATGTCTTCATTACTTTTTTTTTTTAACAGACTTAAATGAAAGCAGATTTTTATATGTAAAGTTCTGCATTTTACCATCCTTTAAAGTGGTTATGAAATAAAAGACTAACATATAGCCTTAGCCAGAATCTTTTAAAGAAATGGTCATAACCAAAAGAAACTAAATAAGAAATTCCTATGGAAAGAATGAGTATGTTGACATCCAGAACAAACACATGTTGACGGCTGAAACACTGACTTTGTGAGAACAGCCATCTATAACTACTGCATCTACACAGCAAGAATGCTCTACTACAGAAGAGATACAGAAGTACTGAAGACAGAAAACAGTCTTTTAATGACACTCATAAATATCAAATCCAGGGAAATTTCAGCCCCAAACGGGGAAGATATTCAAGCATGTACGTCGAGCTTTGTGTGTGTTAGTCCACTGAAGTCCCAACAAGCAGTTGAATCGGGGCCTCCAGTAACAAAAAGTAAGACTGCTTAGTAGTAAGACATTAATAGGCTGTGAGTTAAACAGAAAGAACACTAGCTTAGAAGTTAAAATTAATGTACTTTATTGTTATGCATGTGGTTTTTCTTTCTAAAAGATTTTTTTGACCTAGTGAAGGATAGTATAATTTCCAAAGTGTGGCAGCAAAGAAGAATTTTATCCGATTCCAGTATGAGTTAGTAAGAAGTGGCAAGAGACAGGAAAATGCAAGAGCATTACATTTATACGAGGCAAGCCTTCCAGAAAATGGGAGTAAGGGGTACGTATGGGGGTGCCTGAATGCCAACAGGACCTCTTATTACAACAGAGAGTGGGTACCACAGGCACTACACTGCACAGTATGAGGCACTTAAACCCTTTCTGACATCAGTGGTATTCTGGGCCCAAAGTCAGCAGTTAGGTCAACTGCCACTAGCAGTATTAAAACAGTTTAAAAAAGGAAGCAAAGTGACAGATACAGGAAAAAGGAAACTGAAGAATGTAGAAGATTGCCCAAATGTTTACAATACTAATAAAAACAAGGGTGTAGCTACTTCTCTGTGTCTGTATAGTGCCTTATGACACTGGGAACTCTTAGATACTACTACTGTAGCAAATAAGATGACCAATGACCTTGTAACCACTGAGAAGCACAAACTGAAAACAAATTAGAAAGAGAAAAATTGAACCCATAGGTCACCTGACCACCACCCTTTTCAGAAGGGTGCCCACTTTTCCCCAAAATTGGACAGTTCCTGAAAAGAGCGACACTATTTCCTTCTGAGTACATGTTCAAATCAAGTCTCCTCTCAGTTCAGAAGTCATGGGGCTTAGTGTTATGTATCAACCTTAATAGTCAGAGATCAAGAACCTTGGGATTTATCTTGCGTAATCCTCAGGGGTCTACATTTGACCTTGCTGTGTAAGACATTATAGTCCAATGGCCTTCTAATCAATGGAGTCTACAGCAGTTATCCTCTTTCCAAAGAGTACACTGCTGCAACAGGAACTTAGCTACCTCAAAATGCCAATCCCAGCTTTGGAAGAAGCGAATGCCACAGCAAATAGCAGCATTCAAGTGAAAGCTTCGTTCTGTGGCTTTTCTCATGGATTAACAAATGCTGGCAGGACTATTCCCAGAATAGCATACTCTTATCTTTCTAGGCATCCTGAAGAAAGCATGCAGGGCTGTAACTATTTCAAAGACACTGTTTTGACACAAAGTATTTCTGTTTAACCCAGAACGTAGTCACAATAACATGATCTCATTAATGTGCAAATCGGTTTAAGTTAGGGAGTGGCATGGCACCACAAAGCTTGCAACTATACTTATCTCCATACCAAATTTGATTTGAATACTTCCAGCTCTTGAACAGAAACAAATTAATCAGTATGCTCTCCAGTTCTGCATGTCTGGAAGGGAGGAGTGCTCTGGGTATTTAGGCAGAAGGAAAGAGCTCCTACCTGTTACACAGTGACCAACTGTGGCCGCAGAAGACTAGAAGGGAAACCCCAAAGAAGTGAAGGCGAGGCGTGCAGTGGAAATAGAGAACGCGTCCTTATTTAAATCAGTTCCAGTGCACAACTGCCAGAAGTAACTCCCCAGAGGGCACAAAGGGAAAGTAAAGGTAATTTGGAAAAACAGTTTGCGTGAATACTGAGTTTTTGCAAAAAATCACTCATCTGTACAACAGACATGAGGTATAACAAAGAAAGACAAAGGGAATCACTAGTGTCACACAAACCAGTTCAATTATTGACATGAGTGAGTTGCTTTGGGTCCCTGAGTTTAAGGGAACAAAAGGAAGGAGATAAAGCAAGCTCCAATTTTATTATGCTATCAAGATGAAAAAGACAGAGGTACCACTTAGGAGACAGTGAACAGTGGTTCAAAGTGAATTACTCAAGTTCCCAGAAAAGTTAGGGGAGGTCATGATTGTCTTGGGTAAAAGAAGAAGTCTTCAGAGAGAAGTTAGGAGAAAATGGCTATATACAGCTACAGAGTAAATTATTAAGAATCATTTGCTAGAGTACCAATACAGAACTTGGGGAGGAAAAAAAAAAACCCAAACCAACCAGGCTGCAGGAAATTGCTCAGCCTTCTTTTCTCTGTGTGCTTAACAAACCCTTGTATTCAGAAGCACTTTGGATCATGCCTTCATATGAGTCTAACACTTCTAAATTATCAGACTACAGAAATGAACTGCAGAGTTCACCACAAGATATAGACTGTAAGTCATAACTCCGGTAACTGATGTCACTGCACCCAGTTTACTGTCCACTGCAGAAACAAGGTAATCTGCATGGAATCCCATGCAAATCTGGTGCAGCAGCTTTATTATCAGTTAAGTAGCTTCGTTACCAAGCTACATCTCAAAACCAAGGATCTGTCTCAAGTCTGACTCAATTAAGGAATCCTACAGCTGTGTAAGTGAACCTTATAAATGTGATACGCACTTAAAAAGTCATTTCCTCTGTGTTTACTTTGTTCTTGTGCATGTCCAAAGATTCAGCTGCTAGACAGTCACTTTGATGGTAGGAAGCAGGTGGATAGGAAGTTCTCAAAAGCTGCCATACCTTAACAGAGCAGAGAGTCTACCACTGTTAGAGAACAAATGAAAAAAACCTATTCATCCTCCCCCCGTATTTAGTAAAAGAAAAAACTACTTCAAAAAACCCAACCATCCAGAAGTAAACAGCTACAGTAGACTTGCCAGTTAAATTGTTGCAAGTTAAAGACACAGCTTTTCAAATACTTCAAGATTTACTACTCTGTAGCATAGTAACAGTGCTAAGTCACCCACAAAGTTGTAAACTACAGATGACTTCTGCCCCTAATATTTTGATCTAATTAAAACACTAGTTTAGCTACAACCATATGTTTCTGAACTTCCATACTGTAAGTTTTCTTTGGAATTTGTACTCAAAGTGAAGGCAGAAAACAAGCAAATTAGAATGCGTGATGGCTACCTGACTGCATGTTTCCTTCCAGGATGACAAACAAATGCCTAAGGCACAGTAGCCATAGGCAGACTGTCTTACCTGTGCTCTCTCTTCATCAAATTCCAGGCAGCCCATACCATCCAGTCTCTGTAGATCTATCCAGCCTTTCCAGATTACACAGACACCATTGAGAATCATAGGTGCCTTCAAGTACACCTGAAATAAAAGCAAAACACATGCTAGGAATTTGAAAGCATTTACACATATGCCTGCACAATGAAAATACTGACGCAGGAAGCTTCTATATGTATTCTTAGAAGAACATCCAAAGCAGCTGGTAACATGAGACTCCACTTAACAGCTTCTCCTGCCTCCTTTCCAAGAACTCATTTTAATCAAGTGAGTGCTGTTAACTTCTGCCTACTGTACTGGATGGAATAAATTTAAGCGGTGTTCTCGTTTTATAAACTGGAGTGCACCAGGACTTGGTTAGAATTCTGTTACTGCTTTCAGTTAAAGTAACTGTTTTGCTTGTCAGTTTACCTTCATGTCACAAAGAAAGTGGCATGCTGCCAGACATGGAGGATCCTTTACAGCACATTTAAATAGTTAAATGAACACATGCTTTCCTATTCCTAAGCAGCACTGTACATACAGCACCCCAATACATGAGCTCTTTCAACAAAGAACAAGCACCTGTTTCAGTCCTCCTCAAATTTACAAACTAGTCAGAGTTTAGTAAAATACACTATATATACACACCATGCTAAAAATAAGAAAGTCTTCCTGTGCCTATTCTAGCATTTGTGAAAGGCTTTTCAAGAGAAGCAACACCAGATGATCAAAACCCATCAACATGCACAGTGCCTTGAGCTTGAGCAAGAAATAATGCCTGAGTTTAAAGGCCCTACATCTAGATAACGGTAGATGATACAGTGATTTAAAGCACAAGTATTTCCCCTTCTAAAGACCAGAGATTAATCTCCACACAGGAAATTTAAAAAGAAGCAAATACAACACTAAATGAGTTTGACACTTTATATTTAATGACATCAGCAAAAAATACCACAGCAAAATTACCTAAACTGTGAAAAAGAAAGAAAGAAAAAAAAAAAAAAAAAAAAAAAAAAAAAAAAAAAAAAAAATCAACCTTCACTAGTTATTTCAGACTACTTGGCAAGTTAAAACCCCCCACGGAACAGAAGTTTGTCTATGTTGAATCGCCAGAGAGGCCTGCGCCCACTTCAGATTTAAAGGCTGCTTAGACATCCAAAATCCTGTCGAGTCTTTTCAGTCTTCAGGAGTGGCCCAGCTACCTAGGGGAATTTTCACACAGCGCCTCCTCTAATAGTTCTAAATTCATCCTGTGGCAAATCCTCATCAAAGTATTATTGATGTTTAGTGCTATAGCACTTTTCAAAGCACCCCAACTGTGCCTACTTGCTCCGTTTCACACTTACCAGCTAAGGTCACTCAAGCAGGAAAAGAAAAGGCTTTTCGATACAGGAGGTACAGAAAGAAAGCAAGCCTTGCTTATGCAAAGGCTGTCCTGGTAAAATTAAGCACTGAACAACACGAAAGGCAACCCATGAGTGGAAGAAAGGGAACAAGTAACATGAAACCAATTGACAAACAAGTAATGTTATTTGCCAAAGAAAATACACATTTGATCTCTGAGCTTGATTTTTTACAACTTAACCACCCTTCAATATGCAGTGACAGAAGTTTCAATTAGTACAATACACAGTAGCTCAATAGTGAAGAAATAAAGGTTAGTTCAAGCAAATCTTCTTTGTATCTCTCTACAAAGAAGAGCACAGACTGGTTTTCTGTCCTTGTATTCACAGACTAGCTATGCAAGTCATCACACCTATGTCTTCTGTGAAGACAGCACACTATGCAGAGCGCAGATCTACCGGCCAACAGCCTTCGCGAGCAAAGGCATCAGAACCAGCGTGAGACAATGTGGACTATCAGGAAATCACCTCCCACCACCTTCATGTCAAGATTAATCATTTCAAATATACGAAATATAACATTACTCCCTTTCAGCAGAGTCTTCACTCATTCATCTCACAAGAAATAAACTAAGTACGCACCATCAATTTAACACGTGCATTTAATTAGTTTAGAAGTGAAAGACAGTTAAAGAGGTTATTAGAATCAAAAGTCATTCTCTTCTAAGAAGATTGCAGAATAATCGAAAGGAAAAAAAAGCAGCATAACCTAACTATGGGTCTGTAAAGACAAAACAGTCTGTACTCTAATGCTAGTTACTTTTTGCAGAAGCAAACCAGCATTTTGCTGATCTTCATTTAGGGTTTATCTTTCACCTAGCCTCCCCTATCCTTCTGGCCCACAACAAAAGCCTGGAACATCAAAAGTTACACAGGACTTCCCACAGATGACAAGACTGAGCTTTTCAAGTCATCCAAGAGGACAATATTTTTTGTCTGTTTCTTCGACAAGGAATATTATGCCACCACTAACCGCCTCCTTTCAGTGGCCGTTGGATTGCCTTGGTCACTGCAGCTGCTAGTGCATTATAAGCAAACTTCACAGCTCCGTGCAAACAGTAGGTAGCTCAGATGTAGCTGTTGAGGGCTCAGTACTTCAAATGCAATGCCTTACGCGTCACCGGGAAGCCTGAGCAGTGCTGGAAATTCTGTGAAAGTCTTCAGAAGTCAAAGGGGAAAAAGGGAAAGAAGTTGACAGGGTTGATGTGATTACTGATGCCTACTATCTGCCCTGAGCACACTGACCAACAGCTGAGCTGCTGACAAAGCAGCTTCCGAACCACTGTCACACAGCCTGACCTTTCAAGATAAAGTACTCTGCCCTTGCTCCGGAATCAGAGCCCTTAAAGCCTTGCCCCACTAGATTCAGTAGGTTTTCAAAACTTAGATAACGAACATTTTTCACCTCCGAAAGGATGAATTCCTTAGCCAGATATTTGAGGTTTGAAATTACTACGTAATCATTCAAATTTAGTATAATTCATATTGAAACCACATGCGCTTATGAAGGAACTTTTCTCTCATTAAAACACACAATAAAGCATACTGGTGCTTTTTCCTTTATTTTAGAGAAAGGAATTTAGGCTCCTTTTCCCCCCTCTTCTCTTTCTGGAGAATGGAAACCACCCAAGACTGTAGTCAAAACCGTTTAACCACGTATTTCCTTCTTTTCAGATAAAGCCATGCTGGTTCCCTTTCAATTTCCGAACTTCACAGAATTATTAATAAATTACTGCTCGTCTATGAGCACATGACCTGTTATGCCATCTCAAAATCCAGCACAAATTTGCCTTTTAAAAAACTTTCAGAATTCTCTATTCTGAAAGTTGCCTTAAGACAGTCACAGTGAGAGAGCAAAGGCAAAAGCCACATTATTTCTATAAAGGCCCCAACTTCCCCCCTTAATATTACTGAGCTATAAAATTTGATTAAAAGTAGATAAAAGGATGACTTTGTTAGAAAAACTCTAAAGTTTGTTTCTAACCCCAGATTGATATAATTCATACAGTTTTATAAGTCCCTCCCACACCTCCGGGTGCTTTTCATAACAGTATCTGGAAGTCAGTCCTGTAAAACTCGGATACTTTGGTGAAAAGCACTAGAGAGCAGTAGGAAGAAGGAGAGGTTGGAAGTCAGGCAATTACCAATTTCATATTCAGTGGATGAATTTAATGCTACATAAACACCATTATAAGGACACACAAGAGGAAAAGATGTATTATACAGCTGCCTCCTTTCAGAGTACAGTCCATCCGACACACCAAACGAGGTACGGTTTTTCTGACAGTGACAGCAGATGGCTGCGTAACTAAGTTAAGCATTATTATACATATGTTGAAGGAAGAGAATAAGTTCTCCCTCATTTTGCACCCTCATTTTCACACACTGGCACAGCCAAAGCCGATTAGTTTTTTTAGATTTTGAGACCTAGGTAAACTGTCATATACCAAAATCTGCAAATTTTTGTAGCTTATACCAGCTGAATTTTTGTTCAGGTGGTTGTTATACAAAAGTTTCAATCCACCTCAAACTACAGCTTCCATTTCAAACTCCTACTACAAATCAAAGTACCATTAAAATGTTTTAAGTGAGAAAAGTAGACATGTTACTTTTACATTGGAAACAGGCTTTTAGTGTTAGAACAAATATTCTGCTTGCTGACCGAACAACCGGCAAGAGTAAATACCCTTATCTCCTGGCAGATTATCTAGATAGAGGACGAACAGCACCACAAACACATGTAAACCTGAGATGGTGCTGCATGAATAAATGAGGCTCTAAGTTGTTGAGCTGTGTTCGTGCTTTCTTGGTCTATAAGCTGGCTTGATCCCAAAGACCTCTGTGCCACACCTTCAATATACAGTGTATCTCACCTTCCTTTCCGTACTCTTTCAACTGTTATTTCTTTTCAGCTGCATTTAAATGAGCAACCCTCTCCTCCAACTCCAACTAACCGGGAGTTAGCTTTGTTAAAAATAGGCAGGGACGTGGCTCCTGTAACACCATTCGTTCATATTTTAAAAACCAAACTTGATTTGAATATAGTGAAGCATACAGAGGAGGACAATTCTCAATGACTTTAAAAAAAAAGCCGCTTGACTTGAGTACAAGACACAAAAACCTCAGTTTCATATCCTATTTTAGTCCTCTAGTAAATCCTTATCTCACAGTGCCAGGGTATTTAACTGATGTGCTACAGATATGCTATCTGCATGCTCCATCCACACATCCTGCAGTTACAGAAAATGTTCTTTCTCCCTAAAGCAACCGAGCCATTTCCTCCCCCAGAGATTGCACACAGTTCTCACCACCCACTGACTAATGAATCAGCACGCTCACAACAGCCACCACCATCCATGAGACCAACTTACCACCCCACCAACACCCCCCCCCAGGAAACACCAGTCCCCAGTGAAGTAGTGCAGTCCCCTCCCTTCTGTTTTCATTTTCCCAGCACACTGGAGCAAAATGCATTCTTTCAGAAGAGCCTCAGTTCTGACTCACCGTCTGCCTCACCACACACACATCTGCCCATTCATAACTGCTCACACAAGCTGCCTCTCGCTCGGTTGAGCCAAGTACGTACATCCCAGTTTTGATCCCACCTTCCCCTGAATCATACCCTGCTTTTAAATATTTAAACAGCAGTCTCCCCAGTGACTTCATCTATGAAACACTGACCACTAAGAAAGAAACAGC